AGTTTCCATAGCAAACATTAATGAGCAATTATTTATTGTGACTTAATCATAATGCCAGGCTGCAATTTTTAAGTTTGCGGCGACAAATCACGGACTGGTGAGATGGCGCCACTCCTCTACGAGTTTCCCGGGAATCCCGGATAGAAAAACGGGAACTGGGTTTTTCCCAGAGAGAGAATTCTGGGTATTGTTGCTTCTTCTTCTTGTCGGGTGATCGCTGCCATGAGCACGTGTAGCTCTCTTTCAAGTGTACTCGAGGATTGTTGTAAATAAATGTTGTTTTAGTTTAAAACGTGGTCGTGGACTTAACTAATTCACGTTTACAGCCTTCTGATAAAGACAGTCTTTGTGGAGATGTAAATGGATGGAAAAAGATGGCCAGATTTCGTCCAACCGATGGCGGCCATCCATTACCTCCAAGTTATTTAATTTAAAATATATGCTCTCCACTCCAAATTAGTAGTCTCACCACTGTACACCATACATTCCAGCTAACAATAGACTTGTGCCAGTCATCTAGCTAACTCCTTTCAGAGAAAAATTTTTGAATTGAAATAACATGACTTCCAGTCTAAACCATAAGTTCATATAAAGTTAATTGGAGAGTCCTGCCTCTAAGCTTTCTATATCTGGTCTCAACTTTTGTCTAACTCCATTCTTGAAATTAAGGAAGAACAGACATATAGACAACATGGGAATTTATAAGTGTATAGTTTTTTTCAAAGTGTAGCTCAAAAATAACACTAAAATACAGAACTGAAATGTGACAAATGATAATGCATGTGACTATCATTTATATTGAAAATGTACTGTATTTAAAATATTATACAAATATTCTTGAACAATGTAGCTATTTGCATAAACAGCATAATCCAGGATTATCTTCATTTGAAGCATTAAGACTTAAAAAAAATATAATTTTCTTTTAAGTTTATTCTTTAATCCTTTTTACTGGCTTGAAGATATACATAAATCTTCAAGCCAGTTTTTACTGTTACTTCTGAATTGGACTGTAAAAAGGATTAAAGAAGAGACTCAAAAGAAAATTATATTTCTTTATGTCTTTTAATGCTTCAAAATATTCTTGAATTTACTCCAATTATAATACAATGGGTGATCAGTTAATGAACAGTTCAGATAATGAACACTTTCACAAAAGATTTTTATGTTCGGACAACGAACATTTCACAGAACATACAGAAAAAGAAGCGACATAAAATAGTGAATTCCGATTGGTCTTCCCTTGTTTCCAGGTGACAATTTGAAACTTTTTGGCGCTCTGGAGACGTCGACATCAATGCTCAACCCAATACCAATTGGATAGTATTCCTCCGAATTTTGAAACTTGCCCTTGTAATTCCAGCTTTTTGTTTACCTTTCTGACAATTTTTTATAGTCTTCGTGAGACTGTACAAGTGAGTACTGCATTGGTTTTTATTTATGAAAGGCATGAGTTTAACTGTCCCATCAGATATTCGTTAATGTTTTAATACCAAATTTTAAATTTCATTGGGGCCTTGCATTTAAATAATTTTTTGAGAGCTAGTTGATTTCTGTTCTCTGAATTTTTGTAAGTGCTTTTCTGAAGTTATTATTTAAAAAAGAAACTAATAATATTATGGAGCCTAAAAAGAGTGGAGTGTCAAGAACTGTGCTACTGTAGAAACCAAGCAAGAGCTAATAGCTAAGGTAGAAAGTGGGCAGAAGATGTCTGATGTTGCTAGGCAGTATGGCTTGAACAGGTCTACATTAAACACAAATCTTAGCTACGAAAGATATATCAAAAAGCCTCAAACAATTAAAGATCTTTTGAGGAAGTGGGAGGATGTCAGAACAACGGGCATCCAAATGGTATCCAAACCATTTGGATGCCCGTTGTTACCAGAATGAGGTTAATAGGCTTGGAGATTGCTACAATTACAATGCTATTAATTACTGAGCCCTGGATTTTTCGGATCAATAAAAGTGGAGTTTCAGATCGAAAAGTTAGCATTTTCAGATTTATTCTCGGAACAAAAAATAATAATAAAAATAAAACAAAATTGTCAAATTTTCTTCTATTATCTGTTTATTAATTGATGCAGTATATTATATTATAAACTGTTTGAATATGACCATGCACATACAAGAAATCTATTAATATTTTCTTCTGTCAGACTGTGTCGACAGTCAGTGAGAATGTTTTTATACAATGAAAAACTTCTCTCAGCCTCGAACGTAGTCACAGGATAGTATTTCAGCAAAGATACATTGACAAGCCTTACATCCTCAAGGATCTCCAACTAGACAGCTATTAACTTGGCAAAGCACAGAAAAACTACTGTTCTTATCCAATAGCACCGCCAGCTTCGTGCAAAGTTAATTCTACATAAACCAGAGAATTCTGTACAAAATTTTCCTACTGTTTAAAACATTTTTAGAGGTTTTTCAAGTGACAACCCTCTTGCTTCTAATTCTTCAATGTTATCCAAAAAATTTAACAAATGGGCACAGATGTAAACTAGAGATGTTATTAAATGTGGATTCCAAAGCTTCCTTAACATCCACAGTGAAAGAACTTTCTGATTCAAGTTCATTGATAAAATTTTGAAAGTCATGTAAATGGTCCGCATAGAATACTGCAGCTTTTATCCAAGTGCGCCATCTCATGACTATGGGAAAGGATAACAAAGGAGTATCTGGCAAACGCTCACAATGCATAGCAGTTTGCATTGGCGTCTTTGGAAAGCCGTAGTTTGAAAAGTAGTTTCTTGCCGGAAAAAATGATGAGTTTTACATATTTAAAATGTAAACAAACGCCTGACCAGAAGATGAAAAGTATGATTCAGGCAGGTTATGTGAATAAGATTATATAAAATGTTCTTGTCATGCTTACAGATGGCACAGCCTTATGTAAGCATGGCATAACTTTAATTATACGACAGCATTAAACCTTCCTGAATAAATCTTGCTATCACCTCTGCATTCATCTTCTCCAGAAATTTACATAAAAGATGATAAATTTTAGCAGAGTCTTTTTTGTCAAGTTTTCGTATTACCATTAAAGCAACATATCATCTGCATGCATCTATAGTTTCATCTACAGCAAACCATGTAGCATTCTCACTAATTTCTTTGCAGATTTCTTCAAGCAATTCCTGAAAAACACATGGAAGATAACTTTTCCTCAGTGTTGATTCATCAGGAAGATTCTGCATCATGTATTTTTCTAAATACTTCCTGGGCAAGGGATGCATCAGTTTATGCAATTCTATATTGTATCCTATAAAGATTTTTGCTGTATCTAAGAAAATATTTCTTTGATCCTGAGTTTCCATTTTTGTAAGCAACATCTGGGATGTTCAATCCTGTCAGCATGCTGCTTGCATGTCTTGCAGAATGCACATGATTCTTAAAATGTGATTTCTTTATGCACACAAATGCATTTTGACATACCTTGCAGAACACTTTTGAGCCATCCACTGTGAAGTCTGTCTCGGCTAGCTTTGCTTCCCTCACCCACTTCAGTAGAAATTGTGACACAGAACTTTTATGCTTACCCATTAAATTTCCTAGTCTATAGCCAAATATAAAACCTCAAGGCTGCACACACTTCTGCAATTCACACTGTCACCAATAATTTATTTTAAAAAATTGCAAGAAAATCCAATAAATCGAACATTTTTGCTGATTTCAGTTCAAAAAATGTAAAAAGTATATTTTTGTCTGTTAAAAGCAAAATGTGTTATTTTCAGAACAATCCTCAGATTCTCGGATAAATCCAGAAAATCTGGGGACTATTAATTACTTCTGAAAAATCCAGAAGAAGAGAGAGAAGCAATCGACATTGGACAGATTCTTTAACTCCCACAAACGGAAAAAACATCTAATAAAAATGCAAGACTGTGTATATATGTATTTTTATTATTACATATATATTTTCTTACTACATTTATTTATATTTTTTATTTTTTGGAGTCTCCAGAACAAACTAATCAAATTCCCATAAAAACCTATGGTAAATCAATAATCAGTTAATGAACAATTCAGATAGCAAGCAAAGTCTTGGAACAGATTATGTTTGTTAACCAATCACCCACTGTATCTAATATATAATTGAGACAGGTTGATAATGATAATAATAAGCGCAGAGCCCAAACAGTTAGGAGTTGAAAGTTGAAATTTGGTACACAGAGTACATTATGAGAACGCACACTAAGAATGGATTTTTCGAAATTCCTCCCCACGGGAGAGAGGGACAGGATTATTACTTAACACTTCCATTGTTGATGGAAGTGTTAAGTAATAATGGAAGTTTTAAGTAACAATGCAAGTGTTATGTAACAATGGAATTGTTAAGAGAAAGCAACGTGCAAGACACAGATGCAGTTTTTCGTTTTTGCGGGAAATCGAACATATTTTTAGACCCATCTAAAAATTCTCTAATTAGTCTGGAAACAAGGGGGACCCAATTCTTGCATTCTGTGAAAATGGGTAATGTTGACTATAACGTAATAATCTTAATCTTAGTTATCGTTACTTTTGCCCGAGTAACGCCGGGCCTATCTGATAGTAAAATATAAATACATTATGTAAAATTTATCGGAGTTGAATGCCTTACAGCGTAATTATATGATTTGCTTACTTGTATTTCTTTCTTCATCAATATTAATATTTATTTGTATAAATTAGTTTAAAAGTCTTATGTAAATGATGCAGTTTTGAGAACTTATTCAAGAACATCATAGGAAAAAGTTGAACATTATCAAAACTTTCCAATAAAATATAAATGCTAATGAGATAAATTATACAGTAAATTATATAAGAATACAATATTTAAACATACATTAAGTTTGAAAATAGGTTACATGAAGCATTAANTTTATTTTTTTTTTTTAATTTTTATATTTTATCTTTAAAGATTACTGATTCAACTTAAAACTGTTTTAGAAATATAATATTTATAAAATTCCTGTTCTATTATTTTTTCTATAAATTTAGTAAAATTTCATAATTTTCACCTTATATAACGGTCTTCTAACATCAATAGGACAACTCTGAATACAACTATCAACAATTTCAGATATTGGAGTCATGAAATCTGGATTTGCAAACTGAAAATAATAAAAGTTATTTGAAAATTTTTAAATTTCAAAGCATAAAAAAATTTTAGCAATGAGTTGCATAACTTTCCCAGCTATTATGAGATCTTACTTAGAAAATAATTTTTATAATTGTATTTACAATATAGCATAATAAAATTGTGTGTGTCACCATCTGTTATGAGATTTTGTTAAAAAAAACTTTTGATATTTTTAATTACTATAATATGGCAAAAAGCTTAATTTTGAGGTTAGTGATGAGTTTTATAAAAACTATAAATGTTAATAACAAGTAAAATAGTCATTAAGTCTGATCCTACTGGAGATACACACAACCCCCTTGACCTTTAACCACCAAAGTTTAATAGCATCAATGTCCCTCATATACAAGTCACCATGCCAAATTTCATTACTTAATCTTTACCATATCCTGAGATATTAAGCAAAATAGACACAAACACACACATGGAAATTTTTTTGCCTTTTTTTTAATTCTGGTGGTCTGAAAATGTGCAGATTTGCAAAAAACTCAGTCAAATTTGACACAATTCCAATACTTTCTCTTGTTATGCATACATAACAGCCAGGAAAGTAAAACTTAAACCATCTAACAGATCTCAATTGATCTTAATCATACAAGATTATAGGTTGTTTTATTCTTTTAGATTAGTCTATTTTGTTAATCTTAGGATAATAGGTTTCTAGATCAGTTGACTGCTACTCATGCATTTTAATTCAAAATCAATGTAATTTATGAATGAGTAAATAGTATATATATATTTTTTTAAACTCTTTCCATCCTGTGGGCACTAAGAGGGCCTCTTTTTGCAAGCCCATTATGGATTCGGCCAGACTCATAATGAGGCGGCCAGGTAGTGAGGAACAGGACCTGACATATCTCAGCAGACCACCCCCCGAAAAATTCCTGGGGATTATTCGATCCCAAGTCCTAGAGCAGTACGTTGCCACCTTGACCGATCAGCCATCTGGCTATCAAAGAGTAAATAGTATTGTATTACTATATGCATATAAGTAATGCATATATGCATATAGTAATACTAATATAGTAATAATAATATGGCTCATATTATTATTATTAAATAATAATTAAACTGAATAAATTGTTAAATAGGTAAATGTCTCTTCAATCTGAACAAATTTTCGGTAGACTTTCTCACAGCTCTACAGGTTATAAAACTCCTTTATTGTTTTTCTACAGATGCATTTCGGGCAAGTTTAATTTTCCAGCCCCTCTTCAGTGCTTAAGATATCCCACGTTTCCTCATCCCTTTTACAGTACTTGTACTATCAATTTACAATGTTTTCAAATTTATAATTCCCATTTTTTCTCTTAAGGGCGTTTTACATCAAAATCCATATCATTATGCCACACAAATACAGGTTCTCCTTAAAAGTGTCACAAGTTAAGGAAAACCTGTATTTGTGTGGCATAATGATATGGATTTTGATGTAAAACGCCCTTAAGAGAAAAAATGGGAATTATAAATTTGAAAACATTGTAAATTGATAGTACAAGTACTGTAAAAGGGATGAGGAAACGTGGGATATCTTAAGCACTGAAGAGGGGCTGGAAAATTAAACTTGCCCGAAATGCATCTGTAGAAAAACAATAAAGGAGTTTTATAACCTGTAGAGCTGTGAGAAAGTCTACCGAAAATTTGTTCGGATTGAAGAGACATTTACCTATTTAACACATAATACAGCTACCATTAGAAAATTCAACATGAATTAATTGTGTAAAAAGTTATTGGCAATCTAATTAACAAATTTTTATTTTTATTATAAGGATAAAATATTCCACTTTATAAGAATTTTTAAAATGTCAAATGTTTTACATTTAATATTTTAAAAATTAAATAATTTAAAGAAATTTTTATTATTTTCAGAATAGTGTACCTGGACAAAAAATTGTTTGAATAAAATTTGGATAAATTTGATTATAGATGTACATATATAAAAACCCAAAAATTATTATTTCAACTCAATCTTTTTCACAGTTTTTTATATAACAGAAATAATTAATAAGATTGTGCAATATAATATTAATTTATAATATTAATAAAAAGAAAGTTATGATGCATTTTAAAAACTACAGTAAGAAATTCATATTTAATATCAGTATTTCTCCCAAAAACCTGATATCTTTATTATGAAGTGTTTGTTTAAACTAAATATATTACCAATCAACTTGGATAATCACTCTCAATATGCAACTAAATACAGTGATACCCCGAACTTACGCGATAGATGGGACCGAGCGATAACCGCGTAAGTCGAATTCGCGTAAGTTGGAATATAATTTTGCAATTTGTGTAAAATCCAAGTCGGACGTACGTAAGCTAATAAATGTTCTCGTTAATTCTATCTCGTCTTTTGATTTGTTCACGGTTACAAGAAATCACCACATAGAGTCTCTCAAGTCTCCGTAGATATAACAAACACAGAAATAAATAACACACAATAAATTGTAGCTATGTGTCGATTCTGCGCGACAGGTCTGAACATGTAAGTCGAACAATAGTGTGGGTGGAGTGAGTAATCGAAAATTGCGTGGCGCTCAAACAAAAGACGAATCGACGAGATTTGAAAATCGCGTAACTCCGGGTTCGCGTAAGTCGGGGTAGCGTAAGTCGAGGTATTACTGTATTACATAGAAAAAATAATTTAAGATAATGTCAAATCATACTACATTTATATAATTTAAATTATAATCATTTGTAAAACTAATATGTTTAAGATTAATGTAATCTTACCTCAGGGTGGAAAAATATTTCTGGCCCTAAAAATCTTTCATATCCTACGTCTACAGAGAAAGTTTGTTTTGTAATTGAATTAGATCCTTCGTGCTTTTTAATCCATTTGTGTGGTTCTTGATCATACTTTGCAAATTCCTTTGCCACATCAGGACAAATATAACAATATCTTTCCTAATGCAAAAATTTAATAAAACTTAGTAATCAATAGGATGACTATCACACCAAATTAATGTATAATAATAATAATAAAAATAAAGACACTGAGTTCAGCATTACATGCATACGTTTTTTTATCGCAAGCACTTTCGACAAACTTATAATCATCGTCCTCGGGCAAATACAGATATTTTCCGAAAAAATTAAACAAATTATCCGATGTAGAAAAGAACGTATAAAATAAAAGTTGAAACTTTGTCAAAGCTGTTAAGAACGCGAAGCAAATATTCAAATATAATTCGAAAACCAAACGAGCAGTTAGCTCCGTGAGGTGTGAGCTGGCGCATGTGCAAAACCAGTGAGCCTGGTTCTCCTACAATTCTACAATCAATCCTACAATTAAATTAGAAAAATTTCTGAAGTTATAAAATTGTAATTTCATCAATCTATTAAGTTAGAATCTGTTAAGCACTGCAATATTTCTTTTTCAATACAATTAAATGATTTATGACTTCTTAACTGATTCTTTACTTTCAGAACAAATAATAACAAAGGTATTTTTGGAACTTAAATCATAAAATTTACAGTTTTCATTAAAAGTTATGAAAAAGAAATAATTTTTTTTAGAATCTAAGCAGCATCTAAACTTATAACTTATAATAATACTTTAAAAAGATTGTTAAACTACCATTCTAAAAACAACAACTCTAAGTACAAAAATAACTTTTATAATTAGCTTAATGTCTTCTACATTTTAAAGATTTTTACTTTTATAGCTTTAGCTGTTTCTAATGATTGTTCTGGTGGAATCCCAACTTCTCTTTCTCTTAATAAACTTTGGATAAAGTATGTTACATTTCGTCCTGCAATTGGTATGTGTTTAATGCAACTTCCAATTACATAACCTTCTGCCTGGAAAAAATAATGAAAATTTCTACTTTATTGTTTAATTTAACAAATTATGAAATTTAAAATCTCATTTTGAGAATATTTTTCATATATAACAATTTAAAACATACTATAAAATAATATTTACACTAGTATATAAATGTACAGTACATCAGTTAGCATTTATTATTTTATTTAATTTTATACGAGGGCTGTTCGGAAAGTTTGCGGCCTTGCCTATATGCGGCGCTGCGATCAATTTAATTTTTGGCGGGAATAATTCAGCCATCTTTGCTAAAGATACGATACCAATTTCAGCTTGATTTGTCAAAAAGTTTTGCCACGACAGCTTAGCAGATAGTCAGTGTGCACATGCTTTATCAAAAATTGAGAAGACGGAGACTCGTGCGGTCATAAAATACCTGACGAAAAAAGGGTTGACCCCATCTCAAATCAAAGCTGACATGGATGAAGTTTTAGGAGAGTCTGCTCCTTCGTACACCACTGTGAAAAAATGGACAGCCCTTTTTAAATCTGGCAGAGAAAGTGTGGAAGATGACCCTCGCAGCGGACGGCCGTCAACTGCTGTCACTGAAGAAAACATCGACAAAGTTCACGATTTGGTATTAGCAGATCGCCGTTTGAAAACGCGTGAGATAGCTGAGACAACAGGCATCTCTGTCGACCGAGTGCACCACATCCTAACCGAAGATTTGGGTATGACGAAGGTCTCAGCAAGGTGGGTGCCGCATCTGCTGACCGCCAAGCAAAAATGTGTTCGCACTTTGATGTCAAAGGAGTGTTTGGACTTCTACCAGAAAAACCCACAGGATTTCTTGCGTCGGTTTGTGACTACTGACGAAACGTGGATCCATTACTACACTCCTGAAACAAAAGAACAGTCAAAGCAATGGAAACACCACAGTTCGCCACCACAAAAGAAAGCAAAGACAGTTCTATCAGTGGGTAAAGTGATGGCCTCGGTTTTTTTGGGATGCTAAAGGCATCATCTTTATTAACTACCTAGAAAGAGGAAAGACCATTAATGCTGTCTATTGCTTTGAACTTTTGGAAAAACTGAAGAAAGAAATCGAAGAAAAGAGGCCACACTTGAAGAAGAAAAAAGTTCTGTTCCACCACGATAATGCACCTGCACGACCTATTGTGATGGCATAAAAAAGCTAGAACATTGCTGGAATAAGTGCATTGCTAACAGAGAAGATTACATTGAAAAATAAAAAAATTTTAACATTATTTTGTTTGTTTTTCTATGTGAGGCCACGAACTTTCCGAACAGCCCTCGTATATATTTACACTCAATTATTTGAATAAGCTAAGTTTTGTTTTTAATTATACTATGAGAAAAATATAAATGTGATATTAACAATGAAAAATTACAAGCTACAATAGGCCCTCAATTTAACAAACAAAACATTTGTTCTAAAAAAAATTTGAAACCTATTTTTATTTCACAAATAGAGCACACTAAAAGGATGAGTCTATAAGTCTAAATTATTCAATATACATTATAGTGTTATTCATACTTATACCATATAACAAGATTTAATACATCCTGTGACACAAAGAAAGTTCTTGAATTTGGTTAGAAATCATAATGTTATCCATTGAACATAGAGCCATGAAACTAGATCATACAATACAGTGGTACCTCAGTATTCGTCTGCTTTAAAATACGTTCAAATTCGGAATATGTCCTGTTTGGACGAAACAAATTTTGCTCAGTATACGACTTTTGTTCGGTATACGACTTAATTCAATTATACGCACCATCTATGAACAAGTAGCACTATTGATGGGTGTACTAAACCAGACTAGACGTTCGCGATGCAACGGTTTATAACTTTGTTAAGTTTCTTCTGATTTTAATTTGTATGTAAAATTTTATTATTTTTATTAATCATGAATTGCAAAAAGGCAAATGAAAAGCAACAGAAAACTAAAAAAATTACTAGAATCACAATGGAACTGATAAAAGAGATTGTTGAGAAATATGAAGTTGGCATGTGTGTTAGAGATTTTAACTGTTGCATACCGTATTCCGAGAATGACAATATCGACAATCATAAAAAATAAAGACATTATTAAATCTGCTAACATTGCAAAAGGGATTAAATCAATTTCTAAACAGAGATCAAAGACATTAGATCATGTTGAGAAATTGCTTTTGCTTTGGATAACTGAAAAACAATGTGCTGGAGACAACATATCAGAAACAATTATTTGCAAGAAAGTTAAAAAGATACATGCTGATCTCGTGAAAAATCAAGTAGGAAAGCTAGCCAAGAAAGTGAGGTGTTTAAAGCCAGCCATTTTTTTCATGAGAACAGATTAATCATTTTTACATTACTTCTTATAGGAAAAGGTTGGTTCGGTATACGTCTTATTTGGTATAAGTCCAATCATCAGGAACAGATTAAGGTCGTATACCGAGGTTCCACTGTATTTAACTAATGTTTTGAACAAACTGATATACCTTTAACCCTTTGGTGAATGCGCCCACAGCAAATTGCCGCAAAATAAAAATAAAATCTTTTGTTTGACATTATACTTAATTACAGTCAACCCCCCTATAACACTGTTGATTATTCCGTTTTATATGAATTCCATGTTGTACGAGTCACTTGGATTTTACAAATACGTGAGCCATTCACAGCCCGGCACACATGTTTGTAAAATCTAAGTGACTCATACAACATGGAATTTATATAAAACGGAATAATCAATAGTGTTATAGGGGGTCGACTGTATTGCAGAAGTATGTCATCGTATTCTCTCTTCATATTAATGATACAACATGTTTATGAAATTGGGTCAGTTATACTAACCGTTTAGTTGTTACTGGACTTTGAATCAAGTCATACTTCATTTGTGTTGTAACTGCCACTACGCACCCTGCCATGTAACTAAAATATCAGTATACTTTTATATTTATGTGTTTAATTTTAATAAAGTAGGTCAATATTTGAAAGTTTGTTGAATAAATATATTAAATTAACACTGTTGTAAGTTTCTATAAATTTTTAAATTTATATTAGTCTATATTTTTGGAAAAATACAAGGAAAACGAAGAGCCATCCAAAGTAGTAGCAAAAACCTAGAATTTGTTTTATTTGCGGCATACACAAAAACAATAGGAAAAAATCAATTTGTCAAGAATGGGTAGAAATGTTTACAAAAAGCATAGTAATATAGTGATTATATGTGCCATGTGTGAAGGTGAACATCACATGAATATAGAGTAACTTTTTTTTATTATCTAAATACTTTATAACCAAATTTGTTTATTAAAATGTTGTAAAATTAATTTTCTGGTATATCTGATTCATATTTTCAAAACAATAAATAATTATTGACTTAAATCAAGTAATATTACATATGTGGTATTACATAATATGTAATTGCCGCAATGCGCCTTCTCGTGAGCTCCTGAAGAGCATGTTCACCAAAGGGTTAAATAAGTAGAAATAAATAAAGTTAAATAATAAATTATTAACTAAATAAGTTATATAAAATAATTACATTCACTAATTATTTGAGTATTGAAGTATTTGAATATTCAAGATCTGGTTAATATTTGAATCTGTGAAAAGTGATATTTACCCATCCCTAGTTTTAATAGAAACAATAGGTTTATCTTTTCAATTTTTCTTATTTATTTTTTTTTATGTTATTTATATTTTCAAATGATCAAAAGAATATATAATCATTAAAGAAAAAAAAATGTATGCAGCAGGAGATTTTCTAAAAACAGAATTTCGTTGTCAAGTATGAAACTAAAAATTGATTATTTTTAGTATTATATATAAACATATAGAATTATTTATATTTAATTATATTCATACTAAATATTTTTGTAGATATTCACCTTAATAAACTGTTTTAAATTTATAACTATTTTTTCTTTTGATATTTTGTTCAGGGTTAAATTAAATAAAAAATGATTAAATTAGGTTTAAAAAATTTAAATTTAATGTTATTGTACACTTTAAATGCTGAAAAAAGTTAATTTTTACAAAATGCTAAAATCAGTGGTCATTTCTTGCATTTGTGACATACTCTAATTGAAGCATCACAATAATAGTTCATAGACAACTCAATTTTATTGGCTGAAAGCCAACATGTTATCTCAAAAATTGTTATCACTGTATGTACAGTGGTACCTCAGAATACGAAATTAATCTGTTCCAAAACTGAGATCGTATCATGAAAATGTCGTAAGGTGAATCATTTTTCCCCAGACGATTACCTGTATAATCCAAATAATTTGTTCCAACACAAAAAACACACTCAAATTAAAGCTAAGTAGTGCATTAAAAAAAAAAAATAACTATAGTAAGGAAAACACTGAAAAATGCATTTTGTAGTTGTAAATGTATAAATAACCATAAGAGAATAATAATTGATTAAAAAAATGTAGTTTTATTTGCACTTTACCGTTGAGGANACCCCCCTATAACACTGTTGATTATTCCGTTTTATATGAATTCCATGTTGTACGAGTCACTTGGATTTTACAAATACGTGAGCCATTCACAGCCCGGCACACATGTTTGTAAAATCTAAGTGACTCATACAACATGGAATTTATATAAAACGGAATAATCAATAGTGTTATAGGGGGTCGACTGTATTGCAGAAGTATGTCATCGTATTCTCTCTTCATATTAATGATACAACATGTTTATGAAATTGGGTCAGTTATACTAACCGTTTAGTTGTTACTGGACTTTGAATCAAGTCATACTTCATTTGTGTTGTAACTGCCACTACGCACCCTGCCATGTAACTAAAATATCAGTATACTTTTATATTTATGTGTTTAATTTTAATAAAGTAGGTCAATATTTGAAAGTTTGTTGAATAAATATATTAAATTAACACTGTTGTAAGTTTCTATAAATTTTTAAATTTATATTAGTCTATATTTTTGGAAAAATACAAGGAAAACGAAGAGCCATCCAAAGTAGTAGCAAAAACCTAGAATTTGTTTTATTTGCGGCATACACAAAAACAATAGGAAAAAATCAATTTGTCAAGAATGGGTAGAAATGTTTACAAAAAGCATAGTAATATAGTGATTATATGTGCCATGTGTGAAGGTGAACATCACATGAATATAGAGTAACTTTTTTTTATTATCTAAATACTTTATAACCAAATTTGTTTATTAAAATGTTGTGAAATTAATTTTCTGGTATATCTGATTCATATTTTCAAAACAATAAATAATTATTGACTTAAATCAAGTAATATTACATATGTGGTATTACATAATATGTAATTGCCGCAATGCGCCTTCTCGTGAGCTCCTGAAGAGCATGTTCACCAAAGGGTTAAATAAGTAGAAATAAATAAAGTTAAATAATAAATTATTAACTAAATAAGTTATATAAAATAATTACATTCACTAATTATTTGAGTATTGAAGTATTTGAATATTCAAGATCTGGTTAATATTTGAATCTGTGAAAAGTGATATTTACCCATCCCTAGTTTTAATAGAAACAATAGGTTTATCTTTTCAATTTTTCTTATTTATTTTTTTTTATGTTATTTATATTTTCAAATGATCAAAAGAATATATAATCATTAAAGAAAAAAAAATGTATGCAGCAGGAGATTTTCTAAAAACAGAATTTCGTTGTCAAGTATGAAACTAAAAATTGATTATTTTTAGTATTATATATAAACATATAGAATTATTTATATTTAATTATATTCATACTAAATATTTTTGTAGATATTCACCTTAATAAACTGTTTTAAATTTATAACTATTTTTTCTTTTGATATTTTGTTCAGGGTTAAATTAAATAAAAAATGATTAAATTAGGTTTAAAAAATTTAAATTTAATGTTATTGTACACTTTAAATGCTGAAAAAAGTTAATTTTTACAAAATGCTAAAATCAGTGGTCATTTCTTGCATTTGTGACATACTCTAATTGAAGCATCACAATAATAGTTCATAGACAACTCAATTTTATTGGCTGAAAGCCAACATGTTATCTCAAAAATTGTTATCACTGTATGTACAGTGGTACCTCAGAATACGAAATTAATCTGTTCCAAAACTGAGATCGTATCATGAAAATGTCGTAAGGTGAATCATTTTTCCCCAGACGATTACCTGTATAATCCAAATAATTTGTTCCAACACAAAAAACACACTCAAATTAAAGCTAAGTAGTGCATTAAAAAAAAAAAATAACTATAGTAAGGAAAACACTGAAAAATGCATTTTGTAGTTGTAAATGTATAAATAACCATAAGAGAATAATAATTGATTAAAAAAATGTAGTTTTATTTGCACTTTACCGTTGAGGATAGACGGCAGTGGAGGTGTAAACTGATGGCGGAAGAGAGAGAGAAGGGAAATGATACTAAAACTTAACATATATAACATGATGTAACAATAACTAAAAATAACTTTGAAAAGATAAAAAAAAAATTGTGTTGTTTTTATATATATTTTTTAAAATTTTTATTCACTGCTTTTTGCTTTCTTTCCTTCACTTCCACCAGCACTTTCACTGAATAAAGGTTACTTGGTAAAATATCTATCCAAAGAGGTTTGGCTTTGACTACTTTTTAAAATGTTTCTAAAATAACTTAGGCAAATGTCATTACTCCGTGCAGCAATAGGGCCAGTGTGAACCCGTTTGGGATGTTTCTTTTCAATAAAATCAGTCACTTTCTGATAATACCTCAAGATTTCCTTTATCGAGCGAGATCCACGACGAAGCAAACATGCGGACTGAGACCAATGAACAGAAGTGAATAAAAAATGGCATTGCGAACTAATGTAACGTCATATAGTGAGTTTTTGTTCATATCATGGAGCAAAAATATGTTCAAATTTCATGTTGTATCCTGAAAATTTTGTATGCTGGGGCGTTCGTATCCTGAGGTACCACTGTACAGGTCATCTGATCTCTATTATACTGTAAATAATATAGAGACCAAACATCCTCTACATTTATAAGTTTGTTAACATTCTATGTTTATAAAGCACATTCAATTTAACAGACTTTGGGCAATAGTGGATACCTTTTATGATTAGTTGTTAAATCAAAGATCTATTATATTTAATTTTTTTAAAACATTGCAATAAAGTTTTTATTTACATATATTTAATGAAAATCCCATCAGTTTGAAAATTAAAAATCAAAAAAGCATTTCATCCATATGCAAAGACTAATTCATTTAATAAGAATTTAGTTATAACATGATTCCATGACTTCATATGATGTATTGGAAGTTAAAAAGTGTATACATACATACATTTTTTTCTTAATAAGTTACAATTGATATCAAATAAATAGATAATGATAATTTATTTTAAATATATTTTTAGCATTAACTTTCTTAATTTAGAAAAATTATACATACCACAGGAATGCAATGTGTTACTCCATCACCAGAATCAATTACTAAACCAGTTAATGTACGTTCACCTAACTGTCTTGAAGCCCATGATGCAGCTAAAGCCAACACTGCCTGTAAGATTTTTAATATGAAATGAATTCATATATATATATATATATATAATTTTTATTTGAAAGTAATATGTGTATATGTAAAAAGACTACAGTATTAGTCTGACATAATTCACATTCAAAACGCACACAACTGAACCTTAAAAGTAAAATTCCAGAAATGCACATAAAACACAAACATTTTCAATCTACATAGGAGATCATCTTCAGGTTAAAACGTTCTCAAATGGAATGAGAAAATAGAACATTCTTAAGATTATTTGAAAAATCATATAACAAAAATTAAAAAAAAATTTTTTTTAAATAATTTTCTATATCGACTGTTCCGGTTGGTATAAAGATTGCCAGGCATAAGATGATTGTCCTTCATTTTTAAAATTGATGCAATTTGCCCCTCTTATCAGATTTGAATATCTCGAGAGCTTCTAGTGTCCTGATTTGGTCGTCATGCTTAGATCTCCATATAATGGAAGCTTTGTCTAGATAGGCTTGAATACTGTTGTCTGTGACGACAACTTTCAAGCCACAGACAACGTTCAATTGTGTGCATTTTTATGATATTTTCCAGACTTAGTGTTTGAACTAATTCACGTTCTTAAAATGTACAGAAACATTCCACAATTATCATAATTTCCTGAATATTACCCACAGGTTACCTGTTTAAAACTCAATTTGAAAGCAAGTACAGATGACCTACCAGACTTAACTTTAAATTATGAATTTATCCAACAACTTTTTATTTGTCTAAACTTACCATGTATGTCCTTAAAAAACTATTTATATGCTGCAGACATATTCATCTTCCATTGCAACTTTTCTTGAAACCATCAAAAAAGCCATATACATATGCCTCATCAACAATCATTCATCATACTGGTGTGAGAATTAAGAACATAACCACGAAATTACCAACATACCAGCATATAATTCAATTTAAAAACGAACGTTTTCTACCGTCTTCAACGGTCATCATCAGGTTCGAATCCAAGATTTCAAAAACTCAAACATCGCAGTTATGCTCATGTCCGATGATTTTATTAAGGCCCTGCATCGGACATGCGCATAACTGCAATGTTCGATTTTTTGAAATCTTGGATTCAAACCTGATGATGACCGTTGAAGACGGTAGAAAACGTTCGTTTTTGAAATGAATTTATGCTGGTATGTTGGTAATTTCATGGTTATNGAACCGCATGTAACTCAAAAAGAGCCATATGCAGCTCTCGGAGCCGCATTTGCCCATGTCTGGTCTATATATAACCAGGATTAGTTTTGTGCACCAAAACACACCACCATGTTGTACCAGCATATGCCATAAAAAGTACTGATAATCAGTACATAGTATCAGCAATTGCTCAGTAAAAACAATTCTATATATTCAGTTATCATATATGCATATCAGCAGTACTTTTTTCAGAAAAAAGAGCATTATACATAATTAATTAAAAAAGATAGGCCATCAAAGTTGGATATTATTGTAATATGCATAGTTCATTTTAAGAGCTGCCAAAAGTTTTATGACACATTAGAGTTAACATTAGAAAAACAATTGAATGTCTTGAATTATCTTCTCATGCAAGCAAAAGACTATTTTTAGCTGAAAATCATCAATTCCTGTTTACCTGACCAATGAAATTGAGCCATTCTGTATAATATTCTTACCACACACAAAACATGTACTTGCAAATTTCCAGGATGCTAAGCATAAAACTTTGGTCTGTTTGCCTCAAAATCTAATTGCTCTAATTTACAAAGATCTTGTAAAGATGTAATAAAGCAGGTGAAATTTAAGAATTTTTATATTCTTGCAGTGTATTTAAAGAATGCAAATATATCTAAATAAATAGACATTTGGTTTATCTAATAACAAACACAAAACCAATTACCAGTGTGAAGAAAACAAAAACAATCTCTGCACAAACATTCTCTAACTCCACCTGAATTCTTCAGGTGCAACAACAGTTACCAGAAAAAACATCATTCAGAACATAAAAGTTTTTAAAAGAAACAAACTTGAATGACCATTTGAACTATGAGTATAAATTTAAAGCCATGCATGCATTGTCCTGCACATAATGAAGATTCAACCAACAACTACACTATCATATCAAGTACAGCCTGCCAGACTATCGATAACATCATTTCCTCCTTAAAATTTATACAAGGTGACACAAAGTTAGCTTGTAAACTTTCAGCATTACATCAAAAACTATAGTTATATGTTTAATTTCTGCATTTCGTCTTCTAACAATGTAAAATATTCACGGAATGGCAAAAGTGCCTTTTTTTTTATGTTTATTTTACAGTTATTTCATCCAACAACACAAAAATAAATATATCAAATTTCAGAAACTGGCTGTAAATTATCTCAACTTACACTGATTGCCTTCATTTTTAAAATTGATGCAATTTGCCCCTCTTATCAGATTTGAATATCTCGAGAGCTTCTAGTGTCCTGATTTGGTCGTCATGCTTAGATCTCCATATAATGGAAGCTTTGTCTAGATAGGCTTGAATACTGTTGTCTGTGACGACAACTTTCAAGCCACAGACAACGTTCAATTGTGTGCATTTTTATGATATTTTCCAGACTTAGTGTTTGAACTAATTCACGTTCTTAAAATGTACAGAAACATTCCACAATTATCATAATTTCCTGAATATTACCCACAGGTTACCTGTTTAAAACTCAATTTGAAAGCAAGTACAGATGACCTACCAGACTTAACTTTAAATTATGAATTTATCCAACAACTTTTTATTTGTCTAAACTTACCATGTATGTCCTTAAAAAACTATTTATATGCTGCAGACATATTCATCTTCCATTGCAACTTTTCTTGAAACCATCAAAAAAGCCATATACATATGCCTCATCAACAATCATTCATCATACTGGTGTGAGAATTAAGAACATAACCACGAAATTACCAACATACCAGCATATAATTCAATTTAAAAACGAACGTTTTCTACCGTCTTCAACGGTCATCATCAGGTTCGAATCCAAGATTTCAAAAACTCAAACATCGCAGTTATGCTCATGTCCGATGATTTTATTAAGGCCCTGCATCGGACATGCGCATAACTGCAATGTTCGATTTTTTGAAATCTTGGATTCAAACCTGATGATGACCGTTGAAGACGGTAGAAAATGTTTGTTTTTAAATTGAATTATATGCTGGTATGTTGGTAATTTCGTGGTTATGTTCATATGCCTCATCTTTACTTTTCTCCCTTCATTTTCTGTATATCAATCTCTGCCCTAGTTATTATTACACATACTTACTTGAAGTCATCCTTGAAAGCTGACAAACTGCTTGTAATCCCAGTCACTCTTTACAGTAACTCAAAAATTATTTAGAAGATAACTGTCAATTTTATCATATTTTAGTTTTCTGCAGCTAATAGAAGCTGAGCAATCAACTCTCCATGCAAAGCCATGTCATTGTATATCGGTGATATTAAAATTTTTCTGTTAAATTTTTTTACTGTAATTTTAGCATTTTATCATCACTGTTGGTGAACTACCCTATTTAGTTGATACCCAATATCTAGTACTATGTTAAACTAAACATCAACAACTCATAGCCCGAGTAGTAAATACATCACCAAACGATCGCCTAAATATCGGCCTCTAGTGTCAAATTACTTTATTCCAATCATTTAATTAGCCATATTATAGCCCGATATTTAGGCGATCGTTTGGTGATGTTAAACTAAACTTAAAGCATAGCTATCAAAAAAACTATTATTTTTGTGTGTTGTTAGTATAATCCAGTATGTATCTGTATTTGAAAAATTTCATATGTGACATCAATTTAGTATGGCAACTTTCTGCAATGTGATGTATGTGCTGTTGGTTAAGGCCTAATGTTTCTAAACTTGAATAGTGTATGATATGATACTTGCACAAGATTGTACAGGTTTTTAATATATGTGTTATGGGTGTTTGGAATGGCTATGTTTTGATGTGAATTTGCTTTGTTTACAAGTCAATGAACGCAATATCTGGCTATTGACAAGCGTTAACATAGCCTAACTAACTATCCATTCCATATACCAACAACATACAAAATACATGTATTGAGAAAAATTAGTAAATATTCAGAAAATTATTAATTATTATTTTATAAAACAGCAAATAATAATAATAATAATTCAGCAGGCTATTTGGGCTGCAATTTTCAAATTGCAGCCCAAATAGGCCACTATAAATAAATTCCCACTGGCATCAATCTGTCTGTCTTTCCTTCCTTAATCTTGAAAACAGAATTACATAGATGAAAGTCACAACCAGATATAGAAAACTTTCTGGAAGGAGGTCCTGATTAACTATAATGTTATTTCAATTCAAAAATTTTCTCCAGAATGAAGTTAAATAGATAAACCAGCATGACACTATTGTTAACAAGAAAAGTGTAATGTACAGAGGTAAGACACTACTAAAATTGAGAGCATATATTTTAATTTTTTTTTAATATAAAAAACGAAGCATATATTTTAAATTAAATTGATTAAAAATTGCAGCCCAGCACTGTGATGTCACAGTAAATAACTGCTCATTTGTATTTTGGATGCCGTAGTTTAAGTAGTTTTGTGTAAATATTCTATTCTTCATATTGCTTATTTTATACTTACATTTATAATGAGCTGTTAACAAAAATAAAAGAAATAGAAAAGAAAAAATAGATTATTTAAGATATCTACTAAGCTACATACTGGTAGGTTTTGTGTTTTCAACAGCCACTTTTGAGGTGAAGAATATGTAGTGGGAAAGATTATATGACTATTTTATTTCCATCCTAGCAATTTTTGCAGGTTGTATGCTAGTGCAGATTATATACTGGAAATTATGATATTTTGACATTATCTTTCTTTCTTTGCAGGCTTCAATAATCTTAGAAAGTGAAAATGTTTCAAAAACATCCTTCGGTTTTCATAAAACTTTGTTGAGAATCTTTTTAAAAAAACAAGTTTAAAAGTTTAATTACAGTAGAGCGTCATTTATCTGAATCAATTGGGGACTGGGGTTGTTCGGATAACTTATTTTTCAAATAACCGATTATGTACGAAAAAATATATTAACCTATCCCATGTTGAAATTTTTCTCCATTGCATGTCGCTTTGCGTTGAATTTTTGTCCATGTTAATCCTAACGAAAATTTTTATAATAATAATCATGGTTATTGTATCGTTAAAAATTATTTTTTTTATTTTGTACAAACAAAATAAATATATTAAAAACTTGTTAATTATTAAATGAATCAATATTAATTAAAAAGATATTTCATATTTATTTCGGAAATGACAAATGATTTAAATACTACATTTTTATTAATTTTAAAAACTTTAATATTTAAATACTTTATTTATTTAAAAATTGCATATTAAATCATCATCTATAATTACCACAAAAGTATGATAATCAAACATTAGATTCAACGTGAGATCAACTATCTGCTTAAATTTGTTTACATAACAATGAATGTTTTTACATTACTTTCATTATTATTGTCATTCATTTTCTCCAGTGTATGAATACTAACTATATTACATAGCATAACTTGTATTAAAGTAATTATATCAAGTCATTTATAGGAATTATTTTTCTAAATCTACTGGGAAAAAACCAAACTGATTCAAAAAAGTATTTATAGAAGTACAAATTCATTTGATATTTTTTTCTATTGATAAATTCATTCCAGGAAGAATATAAGAAACTTTTGAAATGTGATAAAATATTAAAAAAAAGTTAAGTTTCAAAATTTTCTTACTTTTTAAACTATTAGGGACAGTCAAATGAAAACGAGACAGATGGGAAAAAAGTAAGTAAACTATTTATTATTTCAAAAGTAATTGCCATAACTGTTAGTACATTTATCCCACTGTGAGAGAAGATGGTCAATGCCTTCATAGAAAATGTTTGTGGTTGCCTACGGAACCATGATTGTACTCAGGCATGCACCTTTTCATCCGAAGCAAATTGACGGCCACGAATGTCTTTCTTCGAGGCTCCAAAAATATGGGCATCGCATGGGGAGAAATCAGGACTTTATGGAGGATGTGTATGGATTACACTGCAGAAGTTCCCAGCGAAACTTCTGCAGCATAGTCAAAATAACCTTGGTAACATGTGGGTGGGCATTATCCTGCAACAGAATGATGCTGTCTGTCAACATTCCTGGGTGTTTGGATTTGATGGCACACTTCAATTTTTGCAAAGTTTCTATGTACCGTTGTGCGTTAATTGTGGCACTGTGTTCCAGAAAGTCAACAAGCAGTGGATCTCCATAGTGATATTGGACGCACACACGACTCGCCGAGCATGTCTAACAGACAAATGGCACAGCAGTAAACGTTCATGCTGTTCCTTCCCAATTACCAATAGATGGCACTTCTATATACACACCTACCTGCATTACCAACTTCCGTGCTACACTTGTTATATAGTCTGTCTCATTTTCATTTGACTGCCTCTAATAAATTAAAAATTTTAGACTAATGAAAATAAAATCATGTAAAAATTACCATAATTTACAGCATGTAAAATGCATGGGCATGTACAATAATCCAGATTTTTTTGGTACAGAATATTTAAGAAAATTACTTAGAGTATTTAAATTTAAGCTACCCCACATCTTTGGCACTCAGCTCCAACTTTTCTTGTTTTATGATATTTTGGTTAAAAAAAAAAAAAGTAAATAAAATTAGAATGTACACTTATTTATCAGAGGAAAACAAAAAATTTAAAACAAATCATTTAAAATTAAAATATTTTTTACATGAATACATAAAAAAGGATGCTTAGTTAAAGCAAATAATAGTAATATATTTAATTAAATAATACCGTTTAAAGAACCTGTAGAAATAACAAGAAATTATAGTAGTAATAATTGTATCATCATTATCCCCAAATTTAAAAGTCAGAAGCAAATGCTGCAGTAACCAATTACAGACTGGAAAGCATCAATGGAGAAACTTCACTTGTGATTCTGAGAGTTGGCAGCCAAAAGCACCAAATTTGTGCATAGAAAGAATTCCATGGATTATATAATTATAAATTTTGAATTTAAATTTCATTATTTTATTTGTTTTATGGCTTTAAAGTGGTGTAGTCACTCAAAATTTGCATTTGCAAAATAATAAAATTTTATTAAAACAGATTTGTCAGTTGTTTCATCTACTAGACACAAACACCAGAAGAGAAAAATACTGCAAGATATAAGTTTTTATAAAAGGCATCTTACACTTAAAGTCAAATATAATAATCTTCAACCTGGTTCTCTAGTTATAACAATTTTATTCAAGAGTTGGGCTAAGTAGAAGTTATCTGTAGCCTAATAAAAGCCATTTAGGAAATTCATTATTCTAAGCAGATCACAGCTTCATATGCAAGAAAACAATTTTTCAGCCTATTTTTGGACAAAAGTCACATCTTATATGCCATAAAATTCAGTAATATAAATAAAAGTTATCTTTTCATTTGTTTTATAATAAAATTTTAAATTACACTTTACCAATAAAAAGTAATGATCCTCAGGCTCTGCTCGTAAATATTTGAAAATACACTGCTCCCAAAAGCGCTCCATTAAATCCCAATCTTCTACAATTCCATGCCTGATTGGATACTAAAAAATATTTAATTGCATATATATTATAAAATTGTCCAACTATTAATATTTAAACAACTTAATGCAATAATCTACTTTTTTAATATTTAATACACCTTAAATGTTTAAATACATTGTCATTTTTAAATTATAATTTTTGATATAAAATATTGAAAAATTATATATAAGATCTTATTATAAGCAGTATAAATAAAAATATTTATGCCATAGAAATTTGGTATTCAATTTATTTATAAATGCATATACTGTATTATTTAAAAACGTTTATTTTCTTGAATTATAAAACAGTAAAAAATGCATTTACACTACTGTTCTTTGCTACTCTATAAATGAAAATAGATAAATATCAAATAATATAAAACATTCCACACTAAAAAATTAGTTTGATATATTTTCAATTACTTCTTTTTCCACAAACTGTATGTTTTTATCTATTTTCATATCCTCTTTTTCTTGCAATTTTATTGGCAAGTTTTTAAAATTTTTATAAGAAAAATAATCACATGCCGCTTATTAAATATTGTTACTTACTTAAATATATTAAAAACTTGTTAATTATTAAATGAATCAATATTAATTAAAAAGATATTTCATATTTATTTCGGAAATGACAAATAAAATACCCATTAAGTTATTGATATAATAGAACACTGTTGGCAGCTACAATATATAAAATATGAGTCCTGTATTTTGTTTTTCAAAACAAAAACAAGATCCATATAGACTATGAATCAGAAGAAATGAGTTACATGAAGCATAATATAGCTGATTAACTCTGATCTAAGAGTTTAGTTTTCATTAAATTATTTAGGTCACATTTCATTTTTTGCATTAATATTTAGTATATAAAAAGAATGTTTGTTAGTTTGTTCTTTATATGTTTCAACACTGAGCAAATGCAACAGAACTTTCAGAGATCATCTCGTCCAACAGGAGAATAATGACTACTTTTGGCTGAATTAACTTCAATCCCATCTACAACAGACCTCCTTTCTATCTGACAAGTGAGATAGACACACTCAAATAGGAAAATTACTTAAAAGAGAACACAAAATATGTTTTTAAGTGTTTTCAAGAGTGTTGAATTTAAATATTTGGGCATCTTTACAAAATTTAATTGGTTGGTTAATTACCATTTGATATTTATGACACATTAGAGTTAACATTAGAAAAACAATTGAATGTCTTGAATTATCTTCTCATGCAAGCAAAAGACTATTTTTAGCTGAAAATCATCAATTCCTGTTTACCTGACCAATGAAATTGAGCCATTCTGTATAATATTCTTACCACACACAAAACATGTACTTGCAAATTTCCAGGATGCTAAGCATAAAACTTTGGTCTGTTTGCCTCAAAATCTAATTGCTCTAATTTACAAAGATCTTGTAAAGATGTAATAAAGCAGGTGAAATTTAAGAATTTTTATATTCTTGCAGTGTATTTAAAGAATGCAAATATATCTAAATAAATAGACATTTGGTTTATCTAATAACAAACACAAAACCAATTACCAGTGTGAAGAAAACAAAAACAATCTCTGCACAAACATTCTCTAACTCCACCTGAATTCTTCAGGTGCAACAACAGTTACCAGAAAAAACATCATTCAGAACATAAAAGTTTTTAAAAGAAACAAACTTGAATGACCATTTGAACTATGAGTATAAATTTAAAGCCATGCATGCATTGTCCTGCACATAATGAAGATTCAACCAACAACTACACTATCATATCAAGTACAGCCTGCCAGACTATCGATAACATCATTTCCTCCTTAAAATTTATACAAGGTGACACAAAGTTAGCTTGTAAACTTTCAGCATTACATCAAAAACTATAGTTATATGTTTAATTTCTGCATTTCGTCTTCTAACAATGTAAAATATTCACGGAATGGCAAAAGTGCCTTTTTTTTATGTTTATTTTACAGTTATTTCATCCAACAACACAAAAATAAATATATCAAATTTCAGAAACTGGCTGTAAATTATCTCAACTTACACTGATTGACATTGATTTTGTATAAAATTTGAGAGTTGGTGTTATCTTTCAGGGTCAGGTTAGATTTTCAGTGCAGCCCACACTGACTGATGACTACTAATGTCAATAAGCCACTAATTGTTTTATTGTCTTGTAAAGGAAAAACTCTTCCTGATTTTAAGTCAGTCAAATTACAGTATTGTTATTTTATTGTACTCAGAAGAATGTTTTCTTTAAAATCTATTGAGCAACTCATTTTGTTACATCTGATTAATTTTATTTTTTAGTTGCAGTTTAACCAACATGCCAGTAACTCCAGGGTGTCTGGCATGCTGGTCTCCCTGGTTATATATGGCATGTTGGTCAATCTGCAAAAATATGGTAATTATCAAATATATTTACAGTACATGTAATCCCAGAGCTAAAATCAAGTTCCACTCTATAACCCCATCATAAGTCAAATTGAGGGCAAATTGAACATAATAAAAAATTGATGATTTCTTCAAAATATCCTATACCACACTCTTCTAATACACTCTTGCAGTTGTTCATTTCAGGCCTACTCTGCAATTTGTATACTCTTAATATGGCAATAGTTCTCAATAAAATTAAGGCTATAACTGTTATCTGGCCAGCTTATGCATCTGATCTGAGCCTCTTGTATAAATTTTTTTTTTATCTAAAATGATTTGTGTCAGTTTAAGTGACAATAATGCAAACAAACTGTAGAAAAAAGAGATCCACTTTACTTGGCCCCACATATTGGCATGGCAACAGAGTAGCATCATCCTATAAGATGCAGGATTTTATGTCATAAAATTGTTCCTTGATTGTTAGCTTGGCAGATACACATTTTGTAGCACTCTGCATTCACAAACCTGTTTAAGTGTAGAATGCTAACGCCTTCACTTGATATGCATCCCTATATCATTTGACTCACCAGAACCTTTACCTGTTTGTATCCAGCAATCTCTGTTTTAGGCCTCACCATATGTCTAACATACGGTTTGCTGTCTGATCCCTGCTGGAGGACTTATCCAAAATCATAATAGAATTCCACATGTCAATACTCCAATCTACATTCTGCTTGCCCAGATATACTACTAACTGCAAATTTCACTCAACAGCAATAGAATTTTACATAAACAGTTGGCTTTTAAACCGATGCAACATAGATAACATGCCTGTTTGTTCTTTCCAATTTATTTTCAGTTCAGAAAAACTAGGTGTGTACTCTCACAGGCAGAGATGCTTCAGCATCCCATCCTGGCATGCATACTCACATCTTTAATTCCTGATCCATCTTTTATTTCAATGTTGCTGTGTCCACATCTCTTTTGTAACAAATGCACAATTGATTGATTGATCACAATGCACTCTATACTAGTTTATGAGAAGATAAACCTTCAGCATTCAAATCAACAATTATGGGCTGTTTACATGATGCTCACTATTAAAAAAACTCCATTTTGCTTATAAAAACAAACCCCCTTTGCACAGGTTTTTATGCCAACAGATGATATAATCTCCAGAAGCATTACTGCATTAGATTTTGCTATAACAACATACAACAATCTGATTATAATTTGTAGTGTAAAAAAAATCTAATAGTTTATTTATTGATCTACATTGATGTTAAGTTAATAATTAAATGTAACTTAAATAAATTTAGCTAGAGGTAGACAATTAGGTTGCCATATCCTGATAAATTTGAGAGAGATAAACTTCTAATTTTAAATTTGGAACAAAATAATAATTTAAAAAGATAAACACATTTTTATATGATTTTGAGTTGCAATTTTCATGACAACTACTATATTTCAAAATGTCCAATATTCTTCATGAATTGCACAATTAAGAGTAATTACATAGACAAAAAACTTACTTTAACTGCATAACCTGAAGCATCCAGGGCTTCATCTCCTATGTAAAAATCCAAATCATCAATTCCTCGAGCAAGTCTTCTAGTAGCTTGATCACCAATTTTAGCAGATTCTTTTATACCAATTGCTATAAAATTTTTTGTTAAGCAATATTTAAAAATAAATTTCATTGTTCTTAATAAAAGTTTAATTTTTATAGTATGCTTATAACTATAAAAACAATTATAGACTTATATGTACATAGAAATAAATCTCTTTCATTGACAGTAATTTAATTTTTAAAGAATTTTTCTTAACTTTTATTAAAAATTTATATGGAATTTATAAGCACACACTTATCAGATTAACTGCTTACACACACATACAAAAAAAGTTTAAGTGACTAAGACAATGATCCAATATATTATGAGATCATCACAACACACCCAGCAAGGAAGAAAAGCTAGTTGCAATATATAAATTTATTCTTTTATTTTAAATTATCAATATAATCTGAATGTCAATGTTAACCTATTTAATAAACCCATAAAAACAAATATGGTACAATTATATAAAATAATTTGTATTTACCAACACACTATTAATTTGTAAAATAATTTAAGTCATGCATATTAAAAGTAATTGTAAATTTTTTTATAAAGAAATAAAAAGTTTTAAAATTTATCTCAATCACAATTAAATTATTTGATAACTTATATTAAAAATTGACTTGAACTAATTACCTGATGGAATGATAAGTTGTGGTTCTTTATTTCCAGCAAATCCTAATTTTGTATATCTAAAAAAAATAAAAAGTCAGTTTTAATAACAGGTTATTATATTTGTTTTTGAAAGTTTTTAAAAAAAAATTTTTAATTAAATTTTGTAACAAAACAAATTACAATTAAAATTTGCTTAAACACATTCTAAAAACCATTTTTCTGAATTAAGATATTTTAATTAATAATAGATAAACTTAAGTAAAAACTCTATAAAAATATAGTAATTTCTAGTTAACAGAGCCACAAGTTAATTGGTAAAAATCTTAAGACAAAAAACAAATCAAAAATAGAATCAAAATTTGTTTTGGTTGTTTGGGACAACATGCTGTTTAATCAGAATAGTGGCTGCTAGATGGCATTCTCTTGTGATGTGTAAGTGAATATCATTTAATGAGTGCTGTATTTTTTCAATTTAACTAATGAGTTCTGTGTTTAAAAGAATTTAAAAAGTACCACCATATATCATACCAAATTTCAATTTTAATGTGCAACCATAAATTTATACCTATGGCACAATGATTGCTTTCATAGATGCTGAATACACAGGTGGGGTATGTTATGAACGGGTATTTTTTTGTTCAAACAATTTTTTCAGAAAATATGGCATCAAAATTTATACACAAATATACAATAGATCTGTGGTTCCCAATTAGTTTTTTCTGCGTACCACTTCAAGAAAGAGCTCAAACTCGCGTACCCCTTATAGCAGAAATTCATATTAATCCATACTAATATTATAAATTCGAAGGTAATTCTGTCTGCCTGTCACCTTTTCACATCTAAACTGCTGAACAGGTTTTAATAAAATTTGGCACAGAGATAGCTTACATGTTGGAGATGAACATAGGCTACATTTTACTGCGAGAAAATTCAGCTAGTGATAATAAAATAAATTTTTTTTTACATTTATTACCTTTAAAATACAATTCTAATAATAATGAAAATAACATAAGTTTATTTAATTTTAATGTGACAAATGTGCACGATTTTCTTTGCACAACTTTGTAAAATCTGGTTGCTTTTTGGTCAACTTCAGTCTCAAGTCATCTTCGAGTTGAAGTCAGTGACGATGTTTAGTTTTCATGTTTGTCATGGCTGAAAATCTGCTCTCGCAGAGGTATGTTGTGCAAAATGGTAGTATATATTTTATTGTTGCTTCGTTGACATGATAATAATGACAATTGTACAATTTTTGTTTCTTCTGTAAGAATTTCATTTAGGTATTGTCACAAATGCATTTTTTTGATGAAATTTCAAGAATATTTTTAGTTATAAATAAACGAATTTGTGCATTCAACATCATGTTGTAAATTGCCAAATTTTTGATGGTCCACCCATTATTCTTTTGATTGCTTCATCTCATGCATTTAAATTTTAAATTGACTGATTTTAGATTGCCACGCGTACCCCTTCATGCAATTTTGCATACCCCCAGGGGTACAAGCACCACTAATTGGGAACCATTGCAATAGATCATTGCAAATACTCAGTAACAAAGATATATTCAATTTAGTGAATTTTTTCTTTTGAAACTGATCTTATAAAATTTTCAGACTCAGATCAATCAAAATGTCATGGAGAAATCTGATACTAGCAGATGGAATTGGCTTTTGATTTATTTAAGTAAGACAACAACAGTTACTGTTAGTTGGTAGAGACAGCTAGAATGCAAATTACACATGCAATCTAAAAAAAAAAAAAATCAAGCAAAGTTTCATTAAGACCTCAATCAATATTTCTTTATTGGAATTGGATAAAATATACTGTACAAGTCACTAATCAAATGCTAACATATAAGAATAGTTACTGTTACTTGTATTTGCTTCATACCAGGTTGTTGTCCCTTAGTTCCATTAATGGCCATCAACATCTCTGCTGTAATACCAAGCAATAATTTCTATCCTGTGTTATAATAAGTATGGTATTACAGTGGATGTTGATGGCCATTAATCAAACTAAGAATAGTTAGTTAAAAGGCTGAATCACAAGATTTCAAAGTAATAGATGATTAGTTATCTCAATAAAAATCTAGCCACGATATTAAATTCAAGAAAACAGCAAATCATCATGTCTCCTGATTTTTCATTTGAATTTCCTTGATTCTAAGATAATTTTTTAAAAGCCCTTTTTATTGGTCTTTGAGATGCATCTTATAATAAATGGCCTTACATTTACAGTAAAAAAGAAACCCAAAGTCAGCAGTCATTGTAAGTAGACTACGTGAAGGCATGCATCAATAATGTTGGTTACAAATTGGTTGGCTATACTGCTCTGTCATCAATTCATACAAGCTCTGCTAGTAATGAGATTTTATTTAAATTCTTAGCATTATGATGTAGCAATAAAATAAAAAAAATTATTGTAAATGTAGATGAGCATAAATATAGAAATGCCAAATACAGGTAACCCCCATATAACATGGAACTTCTATACCACGGATTCACTCCAACATGGTTCGAGAATTGGTACCATCCCCTGTATAAGATGGTACTTTTATAGCACGAATTTACTCTGACACGGTTCGAGAAATGGGTAAACCCTCGTACAACATGAAATGTAATAAATTTTTACATACTTAAGTACTAATAGTTCACGAAAATTATTATTTTCGTGAACTATTAGTACTTCAGTGTGTAAATTTTCTTTTCTCGTCTCCATACACATGGTTCTTCGCGAAAATTGTTTCAATTTTGCCATATCTCGACACTTCTGCTTCTGGTGTTGCCAGATGTTTTTCCCTTATTCCATAAGTGGTTAGCACCATATAAGGAAATTTATAAAGATCTTTTAACTAAAAGCAAGCAATCTAAAATTACATACACTTTTTGCAAAAGATAAAGCATGAATCTAAAAATAATGCAGAAAAATGCTCAGAGGATAACGATAACTTGCCAAAAATAAAACGCTCTCGGTTAATAGTGCTTTTAGTGATGACAAAGAAAACATTGTTTAATTTATATTAATATGTATCACTTAAGAAAATTTTAATAAAGATATTTATCTTAATTATGAAAATATAGTAGCATGTTTTTTTAATTTTTGGAACCTAACCCTCCTTTTCGTACTAGTTCTTTGATTCGCATAACACAGATTCTCATAACACAGCAATTTTTTGAAATGTAACTACCGTGTTATACGGGGGTTACCTGTACTAGTTATTTTGTAGCATTTATATTGTTTTTCTAACTTATGTATACTTCATTTAAAAATTTTTCTTTTTTAAAAACTTTGATTTCAAAATAATCAAGAAGCATCGGTCCATTAATAATAAATTTAATCTTTACAGCAATCATATCCACTATTGTAAAATTAAGCATTTAAATGGAAAGAACATTTTTTACAAAAACCTGAATGCTAAAAATGACTAAGTACTGCATTACAATCTTAGACACACAAATCTCTTTCCAAACTCTTCAGATCTATACAGCTGTTTGCTTTCTTACAAATAAAGATGAACAAATTTTCATTAAACACTATTACTTCTGAACTTTCCAGTCCATTTTCGGAAATATCAACTGCCTTTTGTTGTCATTGTGTTGAGTCAAAGTATGAGTTAGAAAGTCTGAAAATACTAGGGTTTAATAAAAAATTTTTTATTTCAATTACCAAAAAAGCAGATTAGCTATAAATACAGCCTTAGACTGTTGCAAAATGTTAACAGAAATTATAAAACAATCACTCACAACTGGGCATACTTAATAAAGAGAGCCACAAAAACCAAAAAACCAGCAAAAATAAGTGATAGAGCTAACATCTTCATCTGTGTTGAATGGGTATCATCAGGCTAAATGACTCCACAACTGTTAAATAACAGGAGATTGCCATACAAGTGTGAAGAGGAGAGATGACATAAGAGAGGGGGAGGATAGTAAGTTTACAGTTTATAGAACAACTTCCTTGCAGGGGAAAAGAATGAAAGTTAATAGCAATATTTTTGCAGGCAAGCATTTGAAATTTACAAGGCTGCCTGAAAAACATCCCCAAATTTCTTTGCATTTCTCAACATTTCAAGGTTCCAAGTCCAAAAATGTAAAAATCTTGGGGGAACATTTTTTGATCAATTGCCATACTTTCTCTGTTATATGTAACAGCTGGAAAAGTAAAAATTATAATGCATTTCAACACAATCCAAAACCCCAACAAATTCTTTATTAGATATGCATCCCACTAAAAACTATGGTCTGCATCAAGCACTCTCTGTTATAAGTCGGGTCTTTATGCTCAAACAGTTTGCTATCAAATCAATGTAGGTAAAATTTGGATTCATCCAAAAGCATAATAGAATCTCAAATGTCAACACTCCACTCAGCATTCTGTTAAGCCCAATAAGCCAGTTGTCTAAGCATTTCACTCATCAGTAATTGTTTATTTGAACAGTAGAGTTTAAATCCATGTTACCCAGTTCTTATATTAATTATGTCTATCTGTTCTTTCCACTTTACTTTCAGTTCAGAACTGGCAGTATGTTCTCATAGGCAGAGATGCTTAATCATTTCATCCTGAGATGGCATATTCTCATGTTAGCATTCTGATCCAACTTTTTTCCTCAATACTGCCATGTTCATATCTCCTTTGTAGCAAATACATAATTGTTAATTGATCACAATGTATACTCTGTGCAAGTTGATGAGAAGATAAACCTTTAGCATTCAAAGCAACAATTATGGAACTTTCACATATTAACTGTCAAAACTTTTCATTTTGTTTATAAAAGGGCACTTCCTTCATACAGGTTTTTATACCAATGAAATGATCAAAACCACTGCTGCAATAGACTTAGTTATTTCAATGAAAAGTGTTCTCATGTTTATGATGTCATGGGTAATGCAATCTGTATAGTTTCTTGCAAGTCTGCAGAAAATGATACTTCAATTTAAAAAATACATACATTTTTCTGGATTTTATGGATGATGTAATTTCTATGGTTGCTACTATACAGTAGCAACCATAGAATTCTAATAGTTGCCATTATACAACGATTAGAATTCTACAGTATTGAGTTGTTCGGAAAGTAATT